GATGGAGCTTCAGTTTTGACGCGAGAAACGCGCCTCACGCTTGGCAGCTCATGCCGAGATGTTGATAGTTGGTTGACCGTTGAAACTTCGAGAAGTTGTTCAAAGTGCTCAAACCAACGTTTCAACTGGTCAGTGGGGTCAGTGAGCAACTGTCCAGTCGCGTCTTTCACAGGCATCCTTGGGTTCATCCTTGCCCCGCTCAGGCGTCGTGAAACATCATAGAGGAGGCGGATATCGCCAGTAGCTGTGGCTTTCTCCCCTTCATCAGCCAGAGAGTCCACCCACGCTCGCTTGTCCCGTATACAGGAACGCTTAACTTCCCTCTCTAGAGCCGTCCATGCTCGCTCTATCGCGGCTTTTGCTTCTCTCCGCTCCTCGATCTTCCTCCAGGTTTCATCGGTGATCCACTCCTTCCTCTGAGTGCGCAACTCACCACAACCTCACTTGTTTCAATAAAGTAGCAGTACAGTAGCTAATTAGCGAAGCCATATTTTAGTAAGCAGATTAGAGATTCAGCATTTTGTTTTTTAACTATAAGCGGATGCCCAGCATCAGTTAGTTTCGCTAAATTTTAGTGTGCTTATACCACCAATTCGATAATCAATATTTTTTTTGTGCACTGAACGTTTGCTAAGTGAAAGACTTTAAACTGAAATTCGAAGTGTTTTGACGTATGATTACGTCTTTCGGCAATATATTGGGGGTGCAATTTCAAAAAACCAAAATCGACCACGTTACGAAAAGTGGTCAGGATTTGACCACTTATAACTCTGTCAATAGCGGATGGATATTAATTCTAAACAAGCCAATCAATTGGAATGTCATTTACGAATCTGCTAAAATGAACACTTTATCAATTTTCAAAAGGTCACTATTGAAAATAGCACGAATGTGCAACTGTTGCTATACTAATGAAAATTGTCACCGATTGACTGCGAAAAGCGCTTTCCCCAACACAAATTTAAAAATCGATTTTACTCCGGTCTCACCGAACGGTGAAATTCCTCCTATCAATTTTCGCTTTTTTATTATCTATTGCAAGCCAAAAATTCCGTGCGTTTTGTGCACGGAAATGCGCAATTTTGTCATCAGTTGTCGCGAGTCGTTTCCGTGATGGTAAAAGAGGTTTCCCAAACACAGTCGCCGAATATTGATACTAAGCACTGAGCATGTCAAATGGTACCTATCTTTATGCCTTTTGATGCAAGTTTTAAGCCCATCCTATTAAGAGAATTATGCCAAAAAAAATAATATAAAACCTTGACGAATTCTTTTAATAGAAGAGGCTTAAAATTTACATCAAAAGCATAAACGTAGGTACCGTCCGGTAGGCTCTCCGCTATCATCTGCAAGAATATCGAGGGAAAAATTCCACAGCATTGTTCTAAACTCTGGCTTCCAAACTTCCAACCTATCGGTTTTTTTCAGGAGCACAAATGACTGATAAAAGAGTTAACTAAGGAGTTCAAGTAAGACCTTGTATCCAAGACATATCGTCCAGGAAACCGACAGAGCACCTCAAAAACAACTCTCAAATTGCTTCCGAATTTCAACCCATCGAACTTTTTCACTGATAAAGAGTTAAGAAATCAATGTAATAGGGGAATTTACGTATTCTCGGCAACCTAAGCAGCGACCTTCTTTCTATAGCCTTTTTCTCTAAGGAACGCACACATGTGCAGTATTGGTTTGTTTACAATCTTTTGCTGCCAGCTGCTCTAACAATTTCAGTCGAAAGAATTGTCAAAAACTGTTTTGAAACACTTTTACAAATCTCCAATCTTCTCTAGTGAGAGCGAGTATTGTCGGCAACCAGTTTTTCTTCGGCAACCGTTCCATTTGAACTGCATGTAAATCTGCTGTTCTATTATCGGCAACTCGAAATCAGCTACAATTTGTAGTGCGTGTGTTGCATTTCAAGAAAACCTTGCTAGATTGCTTTTTCTCAGTGGTAAAAATATAGTCAAATTGAAGCTGAAAGCATAAAGAATCGTTTGCATGCATTCAGCGAAGTGTTTTCGTAAGAAAATCCAGTGAAAATAGTGTTTCAATTTGGGTTGCCGAAAATAGTTTGGCATGCCGAAGCCGTCATTTCGCCTATTTACTATACTATACAAATTCTTTAAATATCAATCCAACTTCTTTTCGTAGAATTATTTCCAATGGAAGCTACATTGAGAAATTTTTCAGAAATATAACAGAAAATGTAGCTAGAAACTGTGGGAACGTCAAAGTTTGCCAGAAAAAAAAATACTCGAAAAATCTATGATGAAATTTGTGACCATTGGTGAACATTTATCGAAGTGTTTAAAAACTTGAGTAGTATTTACTTGTAGTGAACGTTTTCTAATAAAATTACATTTCCGTGACAATGCGAAGCATTTCTCCGGAAAAGCGCAAACAGATCGTGCATGAATGGTGTACTATCCCCAACATTGCTCTGAGTCAACTAGCAAAATTGTAAGGTGTAAGCATCGGAGCCGTTCGAAACGCGATTCGGAAGTATGGTGATGAAGCAACTTTCCAAACCGATTCCTGTTGACCGAAATCTGGACCGGAAAATCGTGCAAGCTTTCACTCGCAAGAAAAGTGCTTCGATTCGAGACTTGGCTGAAAAAGTGAGATTCTCGAAGAGTAACGTCCAGCGGACCAAGGCAAGAAGGCGTCTACAGAAGAAGCCAAAGCGGAGTAAAAAACAAGCCGCAACCGTCAAACCGAGGGCTCGGAAGTTATACGACCAATTGCTGTGCGGAAAATCTATGTGCGTGATTATGATTTACAAATCAGAGAAGACCTAGTTTTTTCCGATTTTTCATATGGCGTGGAACTCACTATTGCGAGATTTGGCTACAAATGAATTAACAGTAATTAGATGTTGTTTTTGTTTTGATTTATTTGCTTGTACTGAAGTCATTTCTTTATAAAATTGTTTGTTTTCGTGCCTAACATACCAGGTATCGATTTTTTTTATAGAGTTTTAAACCCTGCTCTGCCCATAATCACATATCAGTCCAATATGGATAGGAAATCAAGCAAATATGGGACTGATATGCGATTATGGGTAGTGCTGGTTTATTCACTTCGCATGTAATTGTATTATGTATCTTTTCACGTCTAATCCTTAGCAGAATAAAATCTGACAATTAAGTAATCTTGACAATCTTAGTAAGATTTTGTAAATCATGAAAATCTTACAAGATCTCATAATAGGGTGAGGGACGTAAAAACAAAAAGAAACATTGAATTCTTTGGCCAAAAAATTGAATAGTAAGATTTTAAGAAAAACTGATGTTTACAATATTGAGTTAATCTTCACGGTGTCTAGGAGAAGTCTATTTGCCAGCAGCACAAATGAAAGTGTGAACAATTATTCACATTTAAGTTCAAGACCAGGATTCTATTCATAAACACACGACAAATAACACCTCAGACAACAGTACAATCCCAAAACGCCAGATGGTGGAACCGCCAATCAATCTAACTTAAATCGCGCAGATGTATGTAGGTATCCTGAATTAATTAGAGCTGGTAATTTATATGGGAGTTAAAAATAGGTCCAAGAGTGACAGAGACAAACTAGAATTATTTATTGTTAATCTTGCACCTATGGATCCACGAGTCAGTCCTCCTCATTAGTAGAAGTAGTTGTAAATTTTCGCATCCCCGCTTGCAGCGTCAGCATCGTTTATGGCAACAAAGGAATATCATCACCTAAATGCATTTTTATCCGTGCTAATATTGTCGTGTTTTACAACAACCAAAAATGTGTCACCTCTCCCCTTACCTGATCAATTGGTAGAACAGCGGAAAATTCTCGAGTTCCCAGAGATGACTAACGAAAAAGGAAGATATGCCGAGTGCAGCACGTGTAGTAGTCATACCAGCTGTTGCAGCGCCTGTCACCACTATTGTCTCCGTCATTCGGACAACTTGACCACCAGCACAAACACAAGTATCGCCTATTACAACTGTAGTGGAAGTAGTTCTCTTTCGAGCCTCGCCAGCAGGGGCAGTAGCAGTAACTGTAGCAGTTGTTGTCTACAATGCAGCCGAACTACGACTGGTGGCACTTTAAAACCCGAGAGCATCAGGCGCAAGATCTGAAAGTATTTCCACTAATCCTTCACCCTTGTTCTGATTCGGTAACGGAAATAGCACTTGTCACTAATATTTAGATTAAAACCTTAAATGTTTTTTTTTTACAAATCAACTCATCTATAGTGCTATTTGTCGAGCCGTTCATTTTTACACTTGTTAATTCTAAATACCGACCGTTTCGATCATATGGGAGCATTCATTAAGTACGTCACGCTCGAAGGAGAGAAGGAGGGGAGGGGTTTAAAAATTTGTGACAAGCAATGTATTAGGTGTAGGAAAAACGTGATGGAAGGGTAGAGGAGGGAGCGGTTTATTTTCCCTAAATTAATGCATGCTCCCTATGCACTTTACACAGGTTCATACCGACAGTCATCGTCACAAAACCACCTTCTCAGTTCAATCAATCACCATTCGGATAATTTCATAACATACACACAAAGCGAGTGTCCCGATCGAACAAGCCATCACTAGATCTGTTCGAAAGTCTTTACCTGTTTCTCTGTCTATCGTCTCCAACACGCAGTGTGTTATGTGAATCCGTACTTTGAGAAAATTAGCTACCACAGGAATCAAAGCCAGAATGGCTCGTACGGTGGCCCCCAGCGGCCCAACCGACAGCCATGGCCAACGTTGCATTTCTATTCGAACTACGCCGGCCGGTTGGTCCTCGGCGCAGGGGATCATGATCTCTTCAACACCGAGACCTACCCGCTTGAAAGCATCAAAGAGTTTGACGCGGTGTCCAGTGCTTGGAAGCGGTTGCTAGCAAATCTGCTGAGGAAAGGTACCGGGCGGGAGTGGAAATTTCAGCGCAGAAACTCTTTTCAATCTTAAATATCATATGGTATGCTGCAACAATAATTGTACTGTTATTAAATCGTACCTTTTCATCTACCCCACAGAAGAAGACGAGTCGCAGATCTTTGTCAAGTTCTTCCGATTCCACAAGTGCTATGATTTGGTGCCGACGTCGGCCAAGTTGGTTGTATTCGATACTCAGCTACTCGTCAAGAAGGCATTTTACGCACTCGTCTACAATGGCGTCCGGGCGGCACCACTCTGGGACTCGAATCGGCAGGAATTCGTCGGCATGCTGACGATCACCGACTTCATCAAGATCCTGAAGATGTACTACAAGTCGCCCAATTCATCGATGGACGAGCTCGAGGAGCACAAGCTCGAGACGTGGCGAAGTATGTCGTCGCGACAGACGTTCAAAAATGACGAATATTAACCCATTTTTTCCATTTCAGGTGTCCTACAGGAGGAGGTTAAGAAACTAGTTAGTATTGGACCGGACGCTTCGTTGTACGATGCCATCAAAACGCTTATCCACAACCGAATCCATCGATTGCCGGTGATTGACCCGCTAACCGGAAATGTTTTGTACATATTGACCCACAAGAGAATACTTAGGTTTTTGTTTTTATATGTAAGTATCCTTCTTCATACTTTTAGTGCTATTGATATATCGAATAAGTCGGACACCACCATATGAAGAATTTCTCTTCATCAATCGAAGGTTTAAAAATTAAATTCAATCGAATGTTGATTCATCCCTTGATTGAGGATGATTTTACTCAGTGTATTATTAATCACTTCATTCGTTAGCAGTTCAAAAGTACGCTTAGTACCTCTCAAACTTCGAAATAAATCATTTTTTTGAGAACCACAACAAAAGTAGCCGAAATTTGTGACTTTTGTATAAAAAATAGTAGATTTTTGGCCCAGTTTTGTGAAATTGCTGGTAAAAAATCACGCGAAAATTGCGTGAAGTGGTCGTCCATTAGTCAGAGCAAAACTATATTCACGTTTTAATGCCACGATTAATGATGATAAGGTAAATAAAACTACTCACTCTCTCGAGGACCGAGCAGTCACAGTACGTCAAGGCTGGTAGCGAGTCACTTTTTAGTGACTTGGTCACTTTTTTCAAGCAAGTCACTAAAAAGTCTTCTTTTTTAAGGCACTGTTTTTTTTGTAATCAGTCACTATGTTAAACTTTTTTTAACGTGAATTTATTTCAAGATTGATCATTCTTCTTGCAGTGTCTAGGAAAGGCCTCAACATGTGTCTAATTTTTTAACAATTCGAAGTTGACGACCTTGTATAGAGTTTGTTGACGTTTAATCGTCTTTCTCAATTGACAGGGTATCCATTCATTTGACTAAATAAAATTCCCTGAGTTTCCAGGTTTTTCCATAACTTTGGCGGATAATTTCCAGATTTATAATAAGAAAGCTATTTATGAAATGCGTTAAAAATATGATTTTTTTTTTTGTAAAACAGCAACAACAATTACCGCAAACGTTTTAAGACATGACAATCAGTTTTAAAGAAACAGATTTATTTAATTTTAGTAAGTCTAAGATCACAACATTTTTAATGTCTAGAAGTTTCTTACTAGCAAAATTGTGGAAACTTTTAAGAAGATCTATTTATCTCAGAAAAACTAGATCTAGAGATCTTTGGGGATTTCCAGAGATCTTAAGTGGAACTCCTCGAAATTTTAGCCCAGACCATTGGATTGATTTAAAAATCTATAAGCGTGACTACAGACAAATTCTAGATAATTCCATGATGTGCTGAAATAAAATCGAGAACGCTTGAGATGTTCCGAGAGATTCAGTACAGAGACCTTTAGAATATTTATGAAAACTTCAGAAATATTTCAGGAACTTCACAGAAATCCAGAGAATTTCAGGGAAGTTTAAGAGGTGTTCACGAGAATTCGATTTATTTTAAAGACGAACCAAGATCTTCATTAGAACATTAAGACAGATCATTGAATTAAAGCGTAGCTAAAAAAAAAATCAAGGAAATTTCAGAAACCTTAAAGAAGCTTTGCGAAAATTTACAGGAATTTCCAGAAATTTCGGTTTGCTCAGAGAAAATTTCTGGAACGCAATGAAAATTAAATGAACATCCGGAAAATGTCGAAAATTTAGCTAAGTTGATTAGAGAACATCATCGAAGATCCATTTATTAAAAAAATGCTACAATTTTTAGCAAGCACCGATATTTACAAGAAACTCCAGAGAACTTTTAAGAAATTTAGATATTTTTAGATTTTTTCGTTATATTCAGTGAAGTTCCGAGTACTTCGAGGACGATCAGATAACATCACAAAAATCCCATTAACTTAAGAAAATTTGCAGTGACTTACAAGGAGTTTCTTGGAATTATGGGATATTCCGAGAATTCTATGATTGATCTGAAAACTTTAGAAGATTCAGGGAATTATAAATATATATCAGAAAATTCACCGGAACATTTGATCAATTTATAAATTAAGGTAAGCATAGAAAACTTCAGGGTTGGGCTTTCCAGGAAAAAATAGTGATTTAAGGCAAAGTTCCGTGAGCGTTTATAAACTTTATAAAACTAAAGGAAAATTGTATAACTTAAAGGCAATTCAATTAATTCCAGTAAAATTCTGGGTTCGTTAAAAAAATATTAAGATATTCAGGGCAGTCTAGAGAATTTTAAGGAAATTGATAAATATTTTGGGTAGTTTTAAAAACATCAGGAAACTCTAGACTATTGAAGAAGCTATGAATTAGTTTCGATAATCAAAAAATCTTGAGAACTTCAGTGAAAATCAAAGGGCTATATTAATTATTTCGTTGTGGGAGCTTAAAGAAGTTCCTGGAATTTCAGAACAGCTTTGAAAATTTCACAGAAGTACAGATATCTTCAGAAACATTTCGAGAATTTCATAAAAGTCTATGGAACTTAACGCATTTGCTGGATATCCTTGTCTGCCCGCTGTCTTGAAATTGCCCAATATTTTTCGATTGGTCGAAATTCCGGGCAATTCGGAGGATTCATTAGGGGGACAAAATCGATCTTGTTGGCAGCATACCACTCCATAACCACCTTGGAGTAGTGGCATTATTCGATGTACACTTGGGATGTCATCGTCGAGGATGTGACGAATTGTTTCGTTTTCAGGCCACATCTGCAAATCGCTTGCCAAATCATGGCTTTCTTCGTGAAATTGAATCTTCCCGGTACATCCCCAAGTCCAGTCACGAGATAAAACTTTTGACCGGGAAGCCGCTTAAAATCGAGTTTAACGTATGTGTCGTCATCGATCAAAGTGCAGCCCTTGTGTTTCGTCACGTCCACGGAATTCTGCTTCATGTGCCGGTTCGGATGTTTACTGGCTTTGTACGACTTGTATCCTTCCCTGGCAAGGAGGTCTCGCACCGTTTGAAAGTTGGCGGTGAACCTTCTGGCCACATCTCGGATCGAAAGACCGGGATTGGCTTTAACGCACCTCAACACCTTGCTGCCTAGCTGACGATCCCTGGTTCCAGTTTTTTCGTAGGTCCGCTGATTCCTTTCCACACTCAGGGTTTCCTTGTAGGTTTTTAGCACTCGACAAACTGTTGTTTTCGGCATTTTCAGCAATTTAGCCAGCTTGGAACCGGACCACTCCGGATTTTCCAGGTTCTTTCCTTTATTTAACGTCGGTCTCTGTTCCACAATCTAGTGCCAATCACCGATGGACATCGATTGCCATCCAACGGCTTTACTTCCCTTCCGAAGGAAGACGTGACCAGAGATTTTTATGCCTCAGAAAAATCCCACCGACCTCAGCTGGGATTGAACCCAGACCCATCGGGGTGTTAAAAAGCAGTCACGCTTACCACTACACCACCGGCGCCGGCGGGTTTTTCAGGTGTTTGTGCACAATATTTTTTCTTCTTTCGAGTTCCTTTTTACGTTATTTCTGAACGCGATCGACTACTTTGATCAAACTTGCACCATTTGTTCTCTATAGAAGTGTAAACAAACCACTGTCAAGGATTTTCGATTCCCAACACTAGAGGCGAGCTTTTATTTGTTCCTAAATCTTGAGTTTTAGATATATTGTGCCTTCGGCAAAGTTTGTTTCATTTATTTTGGTTAATATTTTTATGTGCAAGACATTAGGGTGGTCCATAAAGTTGATGAGTTCTAAATATCGACATTTTAGTTATTCGAGATAGACCCGCGTAATGTTCGACAAAGTTTTAGATAAAATATTTGAAACAACATTGCTCGATCAAGCAATTTTCTATTTCTAATAATGTTTTCTATTGCTTATACTGATGTTGAAGAAGTAACTTAGGGTGGCCCCATAAAAATAAGGTTTTCAAAAGTAGCTTTTTATACACTGATTCACGAAAATAGATGTTCTAGACACTTTTGTAAATTTGTACATAAGTTGGCTGTTCATTTTCAAAAAAAAAAAATTCAAAAAATCTTGTATGGACAATTGTCTACGCAGGGGGAGATCCCCCATCTCCCCCTGCGTAGACAATTGTCCATACAAGATTTTTTGAATTTTTTTTTTTTTGAAAATGAACAGCCAACTTATGTAGCAAGAATCCTAAAACACTGTCTGCGTTGTTAATGAACAGCCCCTTAGTTGCTTACTCATTTTGTTGAAAACTTTACATAAAATTTTACGTTCAACAACTTTGACGAAGACAGCAAACCTCTATTTTGTAAAAAAGTTTGTATCGCTGCGTCATCTTTGTGGCAAAAACTTGAACTATTTTTATCCGCCAAATTGTATTCCTAATTAATCCAAGAAACTTCCATGAAGAATAGGATGCAATCCCAGAGCGTTATTATTTTTTTCCTGCTAGATTTAATTCCTGGCCCACTGTGCATTGGAACTCCTGCAGCAAACGTGAAGATCCAGTTTCATTATTGTATGTTATGTGAAAGCTGATATTTGTGTTCTTCAAATTTCGAGGTGACAATGAGATTGATCAGAAATAAGGTTTACAACTTTTAAAATCCTGCACTTAATTTTTTTAGATCATCAAATGTTAATCATTTATAGATGCAAGAGCCAAGTTCCGAAAAAAGTAAAATAATTTTTCTTGTGGAAAGTAATTTGGCCGAACTTCAGTTAGACGAACGCCAAATGGGTCATTAGGGTTATTAGGTGACCCCTAAACTGCCGCTATTCGCATGTCCGTGCCATAGCAAAAATCAGCAAGCCGAGAAAATCGCCTTTTTTAGTTTGCTTCGTACCATTATTGTTTCTTATATGATGGGACAATCGATTTGACTGTCTTTCCAAACTTATTCTGAACAAAGTTGTTGAGTTCATCCAGTATTATAATATATGGGTGATTAGCTACCATTTGCATTGAAAAGCTCAGTTTTGACCAAAACGACTATGGGACCGACATGCGAAGAGCGACAGTAAACGTTTTAATCAAACTGAATGATGGCTGCACTGATTCCAAATGAAGCACCCTACCAAAATCAAATCTTTTCTAAATCCCAGCTTCTCGAATAAAATATCTAAGCCAATCAGTTATCTAGCGCAAAAACTTTTCTTTTGTTTTGTTTTTTAAATCCGACATTTTAACTACATATTTTACTGAGTCCAAGATCACGAAAGCTATAACGATAATCTCTATAACAATGTTATAGTCATGCTATCAGCATAGATCGGAAGTCGGAACTCAGAATTCGGAACTTTAATTTAGCTCTGTCGAAGTGGCGATACCATATCTCAAAGTCTGGAATATTCTTCCATGTCCGGCATGTCGTAAATTCGTCTAAGTCTGTAACATCGAATACAAATTTTGAAGTTCAAGAACGTTCAAGATTTGTGTTAGACCAGGGTCTTGTAAAAATATGTCAGAGATCTCGCAATCTCGCAGAATCTTGAAATAGTTGAGTCCTATAATCTCGATGATTTTTTCCTGGTTCGGGTGTTTCATATCAACATTTTAGATCTCAGGCAATTAAAATTGTTCTAGTTCGTGCACATTTCATAATTTTGAAATTTCAGATTGTTGTGGACTGCGGGGGAAGACTCCGGCGTAGTGGTTAACATCCATACAGCCTATCAGTAATTTTACACGTGTTACAGTCCCATCCTGAAGTTCAATCGTTAAGTCAGAGGTCAACTTACAGTTCTGCTGATATAATAAAACATACAAGCTTCAATGCAACTGATTTTAACTTGAAAACGTTATTAATAAATTTACTTTATAATTATATTTTTTTCACTGGGGAATTGCACTTTATAACTTCAAATGTCATTTTCTCAATGCCTACGTTTTCCTTGGGACTGATATGCGATTATAGGCAGCATAGCTCTAACGCCAAAGTCACGAGCTCAAATCTCATCCCTGGACAATGACCCAAAAGTTTTAGTGATAATTGAAAAAAAAACAACATTGTGGACCTCTAATTGATCTGATTCAAGAATCTTTCGATACATAAATTGTTTGGCATAAAACATTCGTCGATACCATTTTGTGAGCGGAGCAATAATAATCTAAACAAATCCTTCTTTCATTTCACTTGCACTTGCAGATTAATGAACTACCAAAACCGTCGTACATGCAGAAGACGCTACGCGAAATCCGAATCGGCAGCTACAACAACATTGAAGTCGCCACCGAAGACACCAGCATCATAACGGCGCTACACAAATTTGTCGACCGGCGAGTTTCGGCGCTGCCTATCGTGGACAGCGAGCGTCGCCTGAGGGATATTTACGCCAAATTCGATGTGATTGTAAGCCCGCAGTTGACCCTCTTTTGGGTGGAGAAAATTTTCATTCGAAATTGCTTTCTATTCTAGAATTTGGCCGCCGAGAAGACGTACAACGATCTGGATGTTTCGCTCAAAACGGCCAATGAACACCGGAACGCATGGTTCGAAGGGGTACAACATTGCAAGCTCGATGAAACTCTGTACACCGTCATGGAACGGATCGTGAGGGCTGAGGTGCATCGGTTAGTCGTGGTCGATGAAGATGAAAAGGTAATCGGTATCATCTCGCTTTCGGACATCCTGCTGTACCTAGTGCTGAGGCCAACTGGAGACGGTATAGGTAATTCCGAATCACTGCGGGCAACGGATCCAAGGCTTCGAAAGTCCCCAAGCAAATTAAGTCAGACAAAGCGCGACAGTAACGAAAGCATTGAAGAAGAGAAAGAATCCACGCTGGAAGACGGCGTCGACACTGAGGAAGAGTCACAGAGCGGCGAAAAAGATACCGAGGCTAACAAGACTGAACCAGCAGCAGTGGAGGAGGACGCTGAACAGGATCGCGCCGAGGACGATGACGTTCCTCCCGCAGAGTCACCAGTCGAACATAGTTCCAACGGTTCTCCCGTCCAAGAAATGCTGAACGAAGAACACAAGGCCATACGTGATACACTAGCATCAAATGTCCAAAGAGAAGTCGGTTTGGTTAGTGAATAATTGTTCAACTAAAAAAAAAAAAAATGTTCGATTTAATGTCGTTTCATCTAGAAATTTTGCATTGCAATGTGATTTCTGTGCAAAGTTTCATTTTTGTGAAGTCAAATTCAGTGAAGCAAAGGCAGCACCAGATTTTTATGCTTGGATTTATTTTTGTACATAATACGTTGAATAAAATGCGATAATAAAATAATGTGAACAGAACTTGTTGACAGAAACAAATAGAAGGCCTTATCAATATACACTTGAAACAAATTATTCTAATATTTTGCAAAGCCAACAATAAACGAATGGAAAATTTGTGATCAAAGTGCTGCTATGCTTCCTTTTCTGATTGGGGTATGTGGACGTATCCAGTCTCTAGATGTTCTTTTTGAAAGCCCGGATCAAACACAAAGTGATGATCCGTGAGTTACAAGTACAAACCATGCATGTGAAGAAAACAGAAACGATAAAACCTAATTAAATATCAAACCTTTGTATCTAAAAGTCAGTAGCAAAGCATAGTTCGTTGAAATTCATACCAAACATGCACTAATTCATATGGATAGATAGTAGTTTTTTTTCTCCAAATAAAGAGAAACCGTTTCGCAGTAGGGACTAATGCCTGATCGGTTGATTTTATTTACTTGCGGAAAAAAAACCTTTACGGAGCAAATCCAGAAAAAAAACAAACCAAACAAATTTCATAAATTCTATTGTAATTGCAATCCTAAGATTCAGCTAGCAATAAGCAAAATATCTAAAACTATAAATCAGTAAACAAACACCCCCGCTTGAGAGCAGGAGAGGTGACGAGCGCAATTGAGGTGGCAAATTAATTGAAAAACATGTATAAAATATACTACAAACGAAAAAGCGTAGCTATCTGTCGCTTGAAGCATCGTTTAGTTGTTTGAACCTCTTCGCTCTGATAAAATTTGAACAAAAGAAAGAATTTCATATCCATAAATTATTATTTAAAAACTGTTTGATAATCGAGTGAATGCAACCGGATCTATAATTTCGTTTTGGTGATGTGAGTCTGCGGAGCGTGCCAGTGTGATTATCGATTGAAGTCTATTAGAGGGAGTGGACATAAACGTAGAATGTACATTAAAATGTTGATATACGTGTAAGTAAAGTAGTGAACATCCAAAAGGATTACTAAATTGCTATTTGAATATTGCTGCTGAAAAATAACAATGAAATTCAAGAAAAAAAAGTTTATTGAAACATAAAATAAACAAAATACTAAACATTAGCTGTGTACACTTTGACATGAGAACGAAAAGAACAAAACCTTGGACTCACTTTACCTCCTCCAACCTGAACTTCACTACTGAACGTGGAACTCAGTCCTTAAAGAGCTGCAGCATAATTCCATGCACAAATGGTTAAAACTAGCTTACATCCAGTTACTTTTCACCTGCGATGCTTCGAACCAGTAATCGAAGACGGTTATTACAAAAAATGTCCAACAATTATAATTAAATCCAATAAATGTTTAAGCTACACTGTGCAACGACTTGACTACAATTTTAGGGTTGAATTTTTTTTTTTAATTTGTAATGGGGACCGTCAAAGGGGAAACCGTGACTGATCTGACTCAAATTAAAATGACAAGCATTCATACGAAAAACGCTGGGGTTTCGACATCCCCAACGAGACCCCAGTTCCCGGTGCGGGTAATAATTTGGTCGCCTGCGATAAATTTGATTCTCAATCTGATCAATTCGATTTTTTGTACTTGAATATTGCGGGGTTGTCAACAAACTATGTAGCATTACGTCAGATTGTTGAGAAAAAACGTCCTCTTTTAGTTTTATTATCTGAAACTCACATTGTAGAAACTGAAGCTTTTGATCAGTATGGTATTCCGGGATATATTGTTGCTGCTTGTTTATCACATTCTAGACACACTGGCGGTGTTGCTATTTATGTCAAAGAATCAGTTCAATTCAACCTTCGTACCAACGAAGTTATTGATGGCAACAGGTTCTTGGGCATTACAGTTGTACGTGGCATGAAGATGGGTAATTATGGTGTTTTGTATCATTCTCCCAGTTCTAGTGACCAGCGTTTTGTTGGCTCGGCTATTCCTTGATTCTAGTAAATCAAATATTTTAGCTGGTGATTTTAATATAGGGGGGAGAGGTAGCTCATCGATTCTTCCGGTTCGCGTCCTAGCATCGTGCTATAAGGTACCAGGCGATAACCAGGGTAGTTGATCGATAGCTCGATGACGTCATTTCGTTGGAGTCTGCAATGGGAAAAATCTCATAGCAGGCGTTGACGATGGGACGTTGTCGAGTTGTTGAATAGCAACTATCGTGGTAACTCACCGATTACCTGTCGATCTGCCAAATATGGAAAGACGTCTGCATTGAATTGTCTCATATAATAATATTCCGCCCACTATATCACAAGAAATTGCGAGTAGCTGAGTGGAATGGAGATAAGTTAAGCATTGGGTACAGGACCAAGTCTCCCCTGTGTGGTGCCAAAAGATGATCGCAATAGAATCATCAAGTTGCCATAAGGCACGGAATGCGACTATTGCATGGCTGGGTAGTCAAAGTCTTCCATTCGTTAGTCATTTCAGGTGGATTAGAACAGGTTAAGGTTTAGAGTGGGCGTTGGCCAGATTTGGATTTTTCAGATGTAATCCTGGATAGGACCCTGTCATTGAACGTCGCGTGAAAGTGGAACTTAATGAAGGCCTAAGTACTTTTTCGTAGTTTTTAGTTTTCGAATTTGAAAGATCGTCGGTTACAGTGGCCTGCTTACTGAGCAGAAAAACGCGGTCCCAGGTCCTTACATATCAAAGAGATTTATGGTAAAATCGCTTGTGTATCGTGTATTTTGCGAAACTCGTTGTCGTTGGTTCCGGGTTTGAATGGATACACAAATTTGAGCAACGGTATTATGTGATATGAGGGGCTCGGTGGCCTTAGAGCAACCGTTTTTGCTTACTGAGCAGAACATCATGAGTCTAATCTCAGGCCCATCCACATTCAAGATTCGTCAATCGTTTTATTTGTTAATATGACTACATGGTAATAACAGCAACTCGGTGATTAAAAAGGTGCTCGTCTGCCTAGTGGCAAACGTTTTTGCTTACTGAGCAGAAGACCGTGTATTTAGCCCCAAGCTCCTTCGCGTTATATGATCGTTAGGACATCAATTCAGCTTATCGTTTACCAAAATGAACCCTGCTGCAAACCCAACCCTCTTATCCAACATCCCAGTGATTCCTCGTGGAAGTGCAGAGGTGTTCTCGGCTTCCATCAAAGCATGTCATGTCAATCCTTCCCATTCCTTTCTTGACCTGTGTTCGGGCGCGGCCGGTGCTGGTATTGCTTAATTTAAGATCACCAGTTTTTACACATTGAGGATGATTGCTAGTCCCAAGCATCGTCTATTGGTTCTCTGTGTAATTACAGCTGATCTGGCAGTAACAGAGTAGCAACCGTGGGCGATCAATCAAGCTCAAGCTCAAGCTATTTTAGCTGGTGATTTTAATATTAATTGGCGTGATAACCATAATTCGAATCATTTGAAGCGTTAACTGATTTTTTTTTTTAATTAAAACAAACTGTAGATGAATATTCGCACATTTCCAGACACATTAGACCTTTAATTGAACACGTTTATTCTAATTTTGATTCCATTTGTTCAGTTACAGATACTGATTTGAAAGTAACCGGTCATGAGACCTTAGTGATTAATGTTTAAGACCATGTTAACGATAACGACATTAAAAGATTATCTATTTTGGACAAAACTGTTACTACTGTTGAGCAATAACCAGCCACATATTATTTGAATATACATAGATTTACGAAAGTGTTTTATCGCCTATCAATTAAAGCGTAATTATTCATACTGTCTGAAATTTGTTCAAACGGCGACTTTTTTTTTTTCGTTATAACTTACTACTCCTTAAAAATACCTCAGTATAACATATTCTCCTAGACTGGAATTCTATAGCATAACATAAACCTAATGGTTGTTGTCGCGTCCGGACACGCTTTCAATTTGCCAGTCGACACTCTCGGCCATGGTGACTGCTGATAAGCTGGATCCTATCTACACCGTCTCGGAGTGCAACTTGAATTCGGTGTAAAAAATTCAAAATCAACTGTTAGCCTTGAAAAAGACTGTTTGTTGAACACGCTGGTTCGTTGCGCGGTACTACTCGCGGTTACTGTTGTTGTTGGAAGGCGTCCTCTCGTTGATTCGATGCGCGACACTGTTCGCGGTTACTGCTGGATGCGCTCTCTCGCACCCGATGCACACTGGGGACAAAATCGAAACAATGTGTTAAAATTCAATAACTTCGGTGCTCGCTGGAACAAGAGACTAAAAATAGTCATTCTTTTAGAAAAAAGTCTCGAAAGGAATCGATTGGAGTGGGTTTCATCTTGGGCACGATAGGGTAAGTTTAGGTTTTTCACAGTTTTGCCCTAAAATCTCCTATTTTGCATGATTTGAATGCTGTATCTCAAGATACCGATGATATATTTATTTATTTATTTATTTATTTGTCGTCAATCAGTGTAGACCGTTTTACAATTGTTGTCTTAAGAGCTATGTTTACAATTTTGTCTTTGTTTATATTTAACATTACTTCTAGCTGACGTTATGCGAGGAATTAAAATATTGCTTTAATTTGGTTTTTGTCATTGTAAAGTCAATGTTATCGCAGTGCTTATTATATGTATCCATCATTTGGTTCAAGGGTCCAAATTTGGCATAATTCGTACGATGACGATTTGTAGCAAATATATTTCTATTTCTATTTTTAGACGGATGACTTTTTGGGCAAAGTTGATCAGGCGGCCAAGGACTGTTGGATGATGGACAGAACAATTCGGAATTCTTCCGCTAGGCGGTGCTAGTGAGCATTCGAAGTGTATATGTTTGTGCTGCTGTATCTCAAGATCCTGACTATTTAGACGAATGATTTCTTCCGCAAAGTTGATCAGAAGTTCAAGGACTATTGGATGATGGACAGAACAATTCGGAATTCCTCCGCTAGGTGGCGCTAAACATTCGAAGTTTGCGCTGCTGTATCTCAAGATCCTGACTATTTAGACGGATGATTTTTTGGGCAAAGTTGATCAGGGGGTCAAGGATTGTTGGATGATGGACAGAACAATTCGGAATTCCTCCACTAGGTGGTGCTAGTGATTATTGAAAGTGAATATATGTGTGCTGCTGTATCTCAAGATCCTGCACCCAACCGGTGGATGTAAGATTCGCTTACAATTATGTGGGATTCATCATCAGAGGATGTAAGTGGAGACCGCATGAACCGAGGATGCGATATACCTAGCTGCAGTCCTATGTAAGAAAATTGGAGACCGAAAAATGTGGAGTTGTATTAGTGGGTGAAATGAATTATGTCGAAAAAAATAGAAAAAAGGTTGGCGACTGTACTCGAACCACGGACGTCAGACTATCAGACCAGTGCTTTCTCCACTGCTCTCCCCATGCTTCTGAATATGGGCAGCCTAAAAGCAAAGATGAAGCGCTCATTTTCTCGTATGCTCGACTTCGTATGCTTTTTCTGCTGGAGAGATTCGAGATAAGTGTGTGCGTCGTTCTACAATGATCTACAATGTGCGTCGTTCTACAAGCTTACTGGTATAGTCGAAACCGCAGATGGAACACGAAATAAAAAAAAAGACAAAAAACCATTACATCACCTGCATGGTCAATTTCTAACATTCGTTGCGATGTTCATGAACAGAGGATGATAGGAAACAGAACTAACATTCATTGTAATAGATTTTTGGTTTGCGTGTGCTATTTAGACGGATGATTTCTTCGGCAAAGTTGATCAGGAGGTCAAGGACTGTTGGATGATGGACAGAAAAATTCGGAATTCCTCCGCTAGTTAGTGCTATATATGATCTTCTCTGGCTATTACGTCCCAACTGTAACTTAACGCCTGCTCTCAACTTAGTGCTCTAGATGCACTTCCACAGTTGTTAATTGAAAGCTTTCCAAGCCTGTTCGATTTTTACATGTGTATATTGTGTGGCAAGTACAATAATATAATATGCCCAGGGAAGTCGAGAAATTTTCCAATCTGAAATCCTAGACCAACCGGGATTCGAACCCAGCCACCTCCAGCATGGTTTGCTTTATAGTCGCAGGCTCTACCGACCGAGCTTATGGAGGCCCCCTGATCTATGAATGTAATCAAACTAAAATGCGAGATGGTAGCCTAATTAATAAGTTTTGAGGACAATTTGGTGAACCTAGAACGTCTTAAACATATCGAATTCAAACGTAAATAATGTGCATGATATATTTAACCCTGTTTGGAGATGTTTTAATACAAAGGGCTTTGAATCAGTGAACCTGGATGAGAATTTGATCTGATCTCAAGGACAATTTGGAGAACCGTGAGTATCTTATACACCTCAAAATCAACTATAAACGAACAGCAGAAACTGTATAAACGTGTTTCGGAAAGTTTTGTCGGTGAGATCATCGTGCAGATTTTAGTTGATCCAATAGATCAAATAATCTGACCTCTAGAACAATTTGAAGAACATAGAACTTCTAATACACGTTAAATTGATGTTGTTTGGAGATGTTTAGTTGCAAAGGACCTTGTATCAGTTATGGTTGATCAGGTAAATTATTTGATCTGAGCTCAAGACAATTTGGAGAACCTTGATTATAAATCAAAATAAATCAAAAACGATCCGCAGAAACTTTATGAACATCTCTTTGTAGGTTTTGCTGATTACATCCTGCAGTTCATGGTTGAGCCAGTAGATCAAATAATCTGAACTCCAATGCAACTTGGAGAACCTAGAACATCTCATACACCATCAATTACAATGAAAATGATATACATTATAGTCATGAACCTGGGTGCATAAACTTGCAATAATTATAAAAAAATGCCAAAAAAAAAAATTCATTCTGTTAAAAAATGTCAAAATTAAGCGGAAAATATGAACCTCACTGTTTAAAACTTCTTTTGAATTTTCAACATTCTTATATGGTGAACGTCACTTATCCGTAGAAACAGTGAAAACATATTACTCTTTCTGCGAAAATGTATGGTTACGTCACTTTGTCTCCAGGCTTCCAAAACACATTTTTATCACGAAGAGAGTGTTTTCTGGTGTATCTTAGGGTATAGATTATGAATATGATGAAAAGTGAAAATTGACCATTGTGGCGTTTACGTCACTTTGTCATCTCACGGCAGTAAGGGCCTTGTACCGGTTATGACTGACCTGGTACATTATTTGATCTAAGATCAAGGACAATTTGGTGTATCTTGAGCATCATATATACATCAAACTGATCTAAATAGTCAGGATCTTGAGATACAGCAGCACAAATACATTCACTTCGAATGCTCACTACCGCCACCTAGCGGAAGAATTCCGAATTGTTCTGTCCATGATCCAACAATTCTTGACCTCCTGATCAACATTTCCGAAGAAATCATCCGTCTAAATAGTCAGGATATTGAGATACAGCAGCACAAACATATACACTTCGAATGCTCACTAGCGCCGCCTAGCGGAAGAATTCCGAATTGTTCTGTACATCATCCAACAATTCTTGACCCCCTGACCGCTCCGTTTCGTCTCTCTCTCTCTCTCTCTCTCTCTCTCTCTCTCTCTCTCTCTCTCTCTCTCTCTCTCTCTCTCTCTCTCTCTCTCTCTCTCTCTCTCTCTCTCTCTCTCTCTCTCTCTCTCTCTCTCTCTCTCTCTCTCTCTCTCTCTCTCTCTCTCTCTCTCTCTCTCTCTCTCTCTCTCTCTCTCTCTCTCTCTCTATCTCTCTCTCCCCCATGTTCCAAAGCACTGAAGGGGTTTTCATTTCATGCATCAGAATACATTTTTTTTATTTTGATTACAATTTTCGGAGTATTGTTTGTTATTGTTGTACTATACTTCTTATCTGCCAATCTTAGGCCTCTGATAAAGATGATAGTTGTATTGAGGCTTTAATGAAGATCTAACACTGCTTCAAGTTTTATATCGGTCATAAAAAGTATGCCATAACAAATAAATGGAACTTTTGTTTTGGTTTTATTCTGCAGTTTTAAGTAGTGACACAGAACCACCTTACAGCTGTCGTTAAAACTATGTAGTCTGAGTTTTAATTTAGTAGTCATAAAACAGTTTTATAGACGACTGGACGGCCTGAACATATGACAACCACACAAAACCGTAATACAACAACAGGCTGCAAGGGATGCTATGATAAAACAATGATAAAATAAGAATAAATCTTCCAAGCATTTAGATTGTTACTTGGGTATTGCTGGTTGTGATAAAAATGGGAGTCTTCTGGCCACTGGTTCAGATTCCCTGCAAGATCATCATGCGTATATTCAGAGCTGTACTGCGAACAGCGCCGAGTTTGTTGGCGACGTCTACGTCCGAAAGTCTTGGAGCCTTCATGACGTTCTGATTGCAGACGTTTCAGCGCGGTGGTTTTGGCCATTTTCAACGCCTTTGTGATCCTCGTTTTGATATCTTGTGTGCAGAATTAATTATCTTCTTTTTTCTTCCATCGCGTGGCAATTCAGGAAAAAATAAACTTTTTTTTTAAATTTGTGCACGGGATTACAAGAGACATACACTGTCAACAAATTTCTGTCAAAAGATTACAAAACCGACCGTTAGGAGCGCTGTACCGCACAAAAAGAAGCGTACCGATTCTAAATTGACAGGGATTTATCCCGTAACCGAATGGATTTTCTTTCTTTCTATTCATAGCCTGTTGTTGAACCTTCAAAGTGCAAGGCACGCGGAACATTTTTCAAGCATTGGTGTTCACCGTGTTCCGCTTGACAAGAGGAACGCTGTGAATAAATTTTCATAAACTAATTTCGATTTTTAACGAAACAATTGCTTTGGCATTTTTTGAAACATGTTCTGCGTCCCCCTCCACCTTCAAATAGTCAAATGTTTGTGGGCATTAGGTACACTAACCTAAAAAGCAATAAACAAATGAATTGATTTTGATCCCTTTATTGGTTTTCTAATGCTACCACTCATTCACTCGACTGCAATCATTCAGAATTCATTCAATGCTCACTTATAACAGTGATAATCTGCATTCGTATAACTTCTACATAGTTTCCTAAAATGCTAAACTCTACTGTCTACCAGTGGCATGCTGTTGGTAATTAATTCCTGTTAGTTCGGTTAGTAGTCGAAAATATAGTCTTTTCAAAGTCTTACAGTAAAATTGTTGTAATCAGTCCTGTTTGGCAATCTACGGAATTAATAGTTAATGCGATCGTTCAGTTATAGGAAGGAGTAGCGTTTACTTTCTCCAATACTGGCCTGAAAACACAAGAAAGAAGACAAGTTCAATCAGTATGGTTGTGAGTAGTACATTAAATAGATAAGTGTTTAAATAGTATTCCATGCCCAAAACGTATTTAGAGTTCATCAGAGATCCTGTTGGAGGAAACCTCAACCGTTTCAACCGAGCCCTTCACTCGCTTTTCTTCGGCGCTTTGGTTCGTGAAGTGGCTCGGAATGAAAGTGACCGTGTCTGTATCACTGAAAACCGAGTTGAGATCGTTATGATCTTGCGTGGGTGCCGACGGATCGGGGCTTGTCAGTGTAATTCTCGATGTAGGTGTTGTGCTGTTGGATTGTTGGTGCGAGTGTAAATTCGGGTAGTGAAATTGGTGAGAAGCAAAAATTAGAATTTTCAAAAACAAACTCAGTGTATCAATTACCTATCCCTCGCTTGGAACTGTGAAGTGACGGTAACTCCTCGTGGTTTTCGGAAATCACATTCAACAGCGAAGGCAGCATCTCCGGGGGTGACGAGGTCAGGGTCATGTTGCACTACGACGATATTGGAGTACACATCATCGTGGTTGATGGTCTGACACTGATCCAGGTTGAATTTCATCTCCAGCGATTTGCCAGCTCGTTTTGGTTTCACGAAACATGGTTCAGCCTGCTTGTAAAAGCTACCACGTGTGTACATAACACCGGTGAAATCCTCTTCTGTCTTCAATTCGATACGCATCGAATCGGCGCCGCACCGTAGATTCACCTTCTGTAGTCCTTTCGTTGAGGCGTCAATTTTGAACTGATCGCCTAGATCCTGCTCGAAGAGACTTTCTGCAAAAATAAGTATAAAAAGAATTATTTTAATAAATATTTTAATAATTATACATCTCAGAAGGATTTATTTGATTTTGTAACGAAACTTTATTTTTCCCTTGATTTGTTTTTCGTCGACCTTTTTCCGTGTTGAGCACCAATGCTACCGAAGCCAGGGAGGCACAGCTCCGACCATCTGGACCCTACCTATCGACCCATCATCAACTCATGAACCGGGGACCAACAAGCCTTCAGAAGAAAGGCGTGATCAGAGATGTGTGATGCCTCAGAACATCCCGGCGACACCGACTGGGATTGAACACAGGCCTGCTGGGGTGAGAGGTAATCACGCTAACCACTACACCACCGGCGCCGCTAGCCGTGTTTTGTAGTGCACATATATCATTTAAAAAAAATCTGGCTTAACAGGATTGCTCAGTCTTAAAAGTTTAATCAGATTGAAGCTGAAAAACTAAGAAGTTGTTTGAATTACATGCGAAGAGTTTTGATGGGAAAATAGAGTGAAATTACCGTTTAAATTCATTCGAAAACAGTTAATGGGTGCCGAAGCCAACACTTACCCTACATATATGAGCGATAATTGGTACAAGAATCTGGAGCCACATTTTGTAACACGAAGCAAAAAACTTTGTCATACAACGAGCTCATCTCTGCCCATAAATCGCGAAATCGAGATAAATGCAACTTTCACATTTTTGTTTGTTGAATAAGGGTTACTAGATAAAATTAACTTTTGAAATGTTCCGGAAACAGGCCGATGAATAAAAACGACGAAACATTTAAGGCCCAAACGCAATGTGGACGGAAGCGGAACGGAAACGGAAAGTTTGACAGTTGTCACAAATGACATCAAGAAGCCTAACCGATGTCGATTTGGTTCTAACTTGTTTTCAATCCGACAAGTAAATAGGCTCACTCAGATCGGGCTTTTCCGCTGCCGCTGCCGTTCCGTTTCCGCTGTCATTGCGCTTGGGCCTTTAGCCAATTTCATTAAATGCTTATTTTTAATCACAGTAGCCATTTTTCATTTACAAAGCCGGGGAAATTTGTCAAACGGTCGCCTATTTTGGCTAACGTGCATACACGCAGGCAAAAGAACGTTAGAATTCCATAAGAAACACTTATGAATTTTAGCCACAAGAAATCAGTATGAATTTCATTGATTTGCCTTATGAAAAAGTATGTTGACAAAAAAAATAATACATCGGAGCAGACTGTGACCATGAACGTTGAGATTACGGGGTCTGTATGTTGACCACTTATCTTTCAACGCTTGGAAAAATGGAATGGTTAAAGGTGTACAAGAGATAACTCATGTTAACCGACATTCATTCATAAGTTACGCTTATGAAATTCATATTTGTTGTTCATAAGTCGACCCTTTCTATTTTGCCTATCTCTATTTGCCTCAGTGTACGTTCTCATTTATCGCTATGTTAATTCCTGCTAGATATGGCTTTAATTTAAATACGGAACCGCTTGTGAAAGTGGACAGATACCATCTGAAAGATCGCAGAATATTTGTGCAACATTGTTAATAAAATGCTTCGTACTTACACGTAAGCAAGGTATAATTAATGAAATTTTACCGTTGTTGCCTCCCGGCAAAAAATGTATTGGTATAATCTTACAACCCAAGATTACAAATATTGATATTAATATGTGTACCAGTTACAATTACCTTCACCTTTCTATTTATTATGCATTAATAAAGCTGTTGTAAATAAATAATAAACATCCATTCCATAATACCACAGACAAACAGACGTTACACTTCATTGTGTATCTTCGTTCACGCATTTAATGGTTGATTTAAATATTATCAGTTTCGCGAACTACTCGCCGCAGCGCTGGCATCGGATCACTTTGACGTTTCTATACATTCTATAGAACTTTTATGCAATATTGTTTGCGAGTTAGCGAGCAATCTTGTTTTCCGCGAGAAGCCAGAGAGATGTCGCTACTGAGGTCCTATGTTTTGAGATACTATGTTTTCAAGAGAAACTTTTTCAAAGTGTTACGTCTGTTTGTCTATGATAATACATTTTAATAAAAACTCTTGTGATAAGCTGCAAAAACCGAAAAATATCAGAATCTTTAACCACAGACAAACAGACATAACACTCGCCAGATGTTCATCGAACAAGCATTTATCGGTCAATTTAAGAGTATCTTAGTTGGTAGTACCACCACCAGTGGCGCGCATAGTCAATTCCCTTGCGTTTGACGTTTCCACACTACCGCCATCTGTTCAGCGTACTACCTACCACAGTGTACTCAACAGATGGCGGATAAGCGACGATGTTTTACAGTTAGAAATATTTAATGAGTTATGTCTGTTTGTCTGTGCTTTAACAGTTGCTTTTTTTTTTTAATTATAAAAGTTTAATAAAAAACAAGTTTTGAAACCTGAATTACTCGATTCACAACCTGATGCCCGTAACCACTTGGCTATAAGACCATCTTACTTGATGCTCATAAAATTCCCTATTAAAAACACACTGACTGCTACGCTCGGTTTCAGACTCATTATGCACATTATACAATTTATCATTTATATTGCACATTAGCCATCTAGTTTTTCAAAATATCAGCTATCACAAATCATACAATAATGAAATTCGACGTTAGGAGTAGTGCAGCAAACTGGGACTTATAATTTCATGAGCTATGTCCCATCAGTGTCCGAGATTTGTGCTCTAGAAAACTTGAATCAGTAGGGCATATCAGCCATCATGATGGTAATTTTTGGACTCTTTAAGGAATCACCATAACTGCTTTTGTAAACAATGACTTCAAACATTAAATTGACGAAACTGCTAGCTCACCCACACCATCATCAGGTTGATAATTTCTTCCCTTACCTTGACATTGCGGGTGAAATGATAATTTAGAGTTAAGGTGATACTCTAAGGAAGCCTTAGCGTGAAACTTCAAAGGCACAAATGTCAGCTTCCACAAAACATACAAATTTGAAATTGCTACTCTCTTTGTAGTAGCACAGCAAACAAGAAGTAGCAATTTCAAATTTGTATGTTTTGTGGAAGCTGACATTTGTGCCTTTAAAGTTTCACGCTAAGGCTTCCTTAGAGTATCATCTTTGGGTTGATGCATATATTATGTCACGCTCTAAGGGGGGAGGGGGTAATTTTTTGCTCGATTTAGCGTGACATAATTAATGCATGGGCCCATTATAGCTTTAAGTAGTTGTCATTCGCTCACATTTTAAACAATGCCCTAATAAATAAATACCATAAACGAACTGTATCCCGGATGGGTTAACTATCCCACAAATGGTTTGGATGATACCCCGAACACGTCGTTAAGCTCTCTTTTATGGTTATTTTTATTAGGGTGTACCTGCACGGCTAAACAAAACAACTCAAGAGTTGACTTCTTTAAGTTGGTGTCTCTCATTCGCTCTCACGTTTGTTGTCAAAAAAGATAAGAGTGAAATAACATAACCGGGATCTTCCGTGCGCCAAGTTAACGTTGAGTGAGTGGTATTCAACTTAATACTGAGTAGTTTTTAAGTTGACGTTGGGTGAAAACAACTTACAAGTATAAAGTAATCTGAATCCATGCGAGTGAATGAAAACAACTTTTGGCGTATTGACTCAAAATAACGTTGGTACATGGAACTGTTGACCTGCACATTTAGTTTTTTTGTCGAGATGGGTACCAACAAGCAGTTCGGAATTTTATTTTGATGGATCTCAGTGAAAAACTTGAGGAGATTCAGCTAAATTTATATTTAATCTCGGTAAGTTTTTCACTGAGAAACTAAAATGCCGAGCTGTTCGGTGGTACCCATCTAGGCAAAAAAAAATTAAATGTGTGGTGAATGGGACTCAATATTAGGTACGGGATTCAATCCGTATATGTTTGACTTGTTTTCGCCCATACTCTCAATATAATATCACTCAATGCAAAGTTCTACACCAATTTCTCAAAACAGGGTGCCCCTACGATAGTGACCAGAATATGAAATGAAGACATTTAATTGTTTTGGAAATACCGTGGACCCCCGGTAATCTGACCGTTTTTAATCTTAACACTTTTTAGTTTGAACCCCGGTAATCTGCACGCCGTGCAAACTAGAAATACTCAAAGGGAAGAGATGGGCAGAGAAAACAAAATAAAGTTCTGTCCAGTTAGATTCCGGAATCACTTATTGTGTTGCAACGGCACGGAAAGTGACCGCTGCTAGAATTATTTTACAGCGGTTTGTTTACCTAGGCGCCCACTTTCTGTGGTATAAATTTCACGGTGTTTCGTGCAGTGAGTCAAAAATTATTCCAGTGGTCCGCAATGAAAATCGCAAAAACGTTGAAAATCGCCAAATCAACCGTGTATGATGTGCTCCAACGTTTCAGGGAGCTAAAGAGCGTGGATCGAGTGCCTCAAGGTAAGCGTCGTAGTGGAACATACGACCGCAAGCTGAACCAGAAGGTGTTGAGAACCGTCAGAGTAAATCCTGGACTATCAGATAATGAAATCGCACAAAAATACGCTGCTGCTCGCAGTACCGTTCGAAGAATTCGTTTGCGAGCAGGATATCGTTCTTATCGAGCCAGCAAGCAACCAAACAGAACGTTGAAGCAAAGTTTCGTCACCAAAACTCGAGCTCGGAAATTTTACCAGCAGGTTTTGACGACCAAGGATGCCTGCGCATCGCTCATCGGACAGCTTCCTGGCCAAAAATGTTACATGGCGACGGCACTAGGAGATGTTCCTGCGAAGCTTAAGTTTGCTTTTATGGACAAATTTGCCAAAAAACTGATGATTTGGCAAGGGATATGCAGCTGCGGAGCAAAGACCAAAGTGTTCGTGACGAATAAGACAATGGACTCGAAGCTGTACAAGGAAAAATGCCTCAAAAACCGCGTACTACCTTTCAATAAAGCCCATAAAGGTTCCCGGGAAGTGTTGTGCCAGATTTGGCGAGTTGCCACTACAGCCGGGAAGTCATCCAGTGGTACCGCGATAATAACGTA